GTGCTGCGTTAGCGCAAGGCGGCGGGGAGGGCCCGGCGGCCGGCCCCAGCCCCAGCCCCTCCCGCCGCCCTCTGCCCCCGCGGCTCTGACACGAGGAGTGTAGCTCGCTGCTCGGGCTTTTTTTGCTCTTCCTGTGACCATGAGGTAGCACAGAGCCAATGCTACAAGCTAAATTGAGCACCACGCATTGTCCCTTTGATGTCAGCGGCATGATGGAAAACGTACTCAGTGAGCAGGCAGCCTACATGCTGTGTGGAGGGCAGCTGGCTGCCCCCTTCCCTCCTTTCCAGCCGGGGAGACGGAGTTTCTCCCGCCCGCTGCTGCCAAACGCAAGAGTTTGCCGGCTGGCACTTGGTTTCTAGCGATGACCGACCCGCGGCTCCCATGAGCTGGTGCTTCTCAGAAGTTGCCCAGGGAAGTTGTGGATGTCCCATCATTGGAAGTGCTCGAGGTCAGGTTGGACGAGGCTTTGAGCAACCTGACCTAGTGAAAGATGTCCCTGCCCGTGGCAGGGGGGTTGGACTAGATGAGCTCTAAAGGTCGCTTCCAGCCCAAAGCATTCTGTGAGTCTAGGTTTCCGTAACCCGGCTTGCTCGTCCCTTCGGTCTGTCTGCAGCAGAAGGCCGTCCCGCGTCCGGTGTGTGCCACCAAACCTCAGGGAAAGCTGGGAGAATGCTGATCAATATAACACGATGCATGTTTCATGCTGAATTGTAGCAACGCCTGCGTCTTACTCAGCTAGATTTATACGCGAAGTAAATGGGTGAGAAGTTTAGCATGAGAATCACCAGAGCGCGAGGCCAACAAGGAGAGTGGATTAGGGAAGCTGCACAATACTAAGACTCGAATGTACTCAGAATGTGGAAAAAGAAAAATATTAGTAGGCATTGCCAAAAACCAGAAGTTTCTGAAAGAAGAGTAAAACCCTTCTTTGAGGCTTGCTGGAGTTGTGTTACACTGGTCTGTGGTTTATGCAATCAGGCTGTTGGCGTCTCCTCCAGCGCGCACTTGATAATTACCTGGCTGCTGAACAGGTTGATTTCTTCTTAGGTACGAATCAAACAAGCGTTGCAATATATTGCAATGTGGAATATCTACAGTCAGCACTTCAGGTGCTAAAGAAGGCTGCTCTGACCTGTGATGTAGAGCTACAGCTGAACCCAGATTTCTTAAACTGTGTTTATATGGGGGTAATCTGCTCAAAGGAGCTCTACCCTCTTATCAGTTACTCGTACTCTTGTCTTAAAATTCATGAATAAATTCTTAAGGTAAAGAACAAGTGTGTGGTTATAGCTATATTTACGGCACGTACTCCCATAAGAAACACAAGTCTTGCTGTGTAAGTTCCATTGCCACAGCTGATGGTAGTCTTGTATCGCTGCTCTGTGACAGATGGCCGCACAGCACAGGCAGTGTTGCGTTTCTCTGTTACGGTTACTCCAGCAAAACAAGCAGTCTGTAGTGCAGCGAAGAATGCTGGAATCACCGATGGCTCATTCACGTGCAGAAATAATTGAGATACTACCATCGGTTTTGAGCTGTTAAAGTACCAAATGAAAGATGTGATTTCTTCCCTGAACGTTTGGTCTCTTCCTCTTGCATAAACAACAGTGGTGAATGGGAATTTCAGTTTGTTCCCAAGCACATCTTCTATAGCCCCCTGCATTTGGTGGAAACGAAGAGTAGGCCTTTGATGTTTCTTCCTAGAAAGAGACATACAAATAGGAAACAGAAATTAAGAAAAAAACACCTGTTTTCTCAGCAATTTGAGATAAATGGGCTAGTTGGATCACCCTGGCTTCCGCCCACGTTATTTTTTAATATTCAAGGTCTCTCTGAAACCAAAAATGAAAAAAAAAAAAAAATTACAGAAATCTCCTAACAATACTAGTAAAGAATTCACCCCGATGAGTACAAACGTTTTAACTTGCCCCACGGAGAGACATAAAGGTCCACACAATTGCTTCACAGCTACTTCTGAGGTGGATTGGATTCTGCTTTCATTGAGTAAGCCGATGCCACAAGGTTGACCTCTGCGGGGCTATTTTGTGGTTGTACTCATTGGAGGGACAGAATTTGTTCTTAGAAGATTTCAGTTTTCTAGCACGGCTCATTTTCTAGGAGAGCTCAGAGCACAGCAGGGCTGTTAGATATTCAGCGAACAAAGATGTAATTCTGCTTTCTTCTACTAAGCTCTGAACTCACAAGAGTGCATTTTCAAGGTATAATAGAAAACTCAGGCAACATAAGTTTCAATAATTAAGCATAAACCACAGCTGGTCATTAGAAAGTACAGTATGTGATTTCTGTAAACTGTGCAGGTTAAAATGACACATTATTCCAAGACCATACCCTAGCACCAACTGTTTGGCTGTATGGGTGGAAATTTTAATTGATGGGTACCTTACTCTGTCATTAGTTAAACGCCAAAAAATATCGCTCAGTTAAAGGCTGTAGAGAAGTCAGTGAGACTGCTTCCTTATGTCTTGTAGGTAGGAAGAACACGATCATTTCAGAGAAGCTGGTGAGGCAAATCCATAATATGGAATAGCTGATAAAAACTATTCATTATTTAAGGACTAACAACCTGAATTAAGATTCAAGTATCTTAAAGAAAATTAAGACAAATTACTATTTGTTTAGAGTATGTATATTCTAGAAATCTTAATAAATGCTTTTGACTCAGTATTTTAGATTGGAAAAATGATAATAAGCATAAAGAAGTTGCAAGGGTGTGCAGGTCACCATGGGATTGGGTGGGATGCTAAAAACCGATTTAGGTAGCGCGTTAATTCCATTATGAACAAAAAGTAATGGATTTTGCTCTATAACCAACATTTCTTTGGCTTTCATAAAGGTAGTAGCCAAACGCTAACACTAGTCACTTCCCAGTAAGTACTCCTCCCAAGATAAGAAGTTTATCCCCACCTTCCAGATAGGGAATCTGAGGGAAAAAGCGATTAGTGAATCAGCTGGTGCACACAAAAGCCTTCCACAGAGGAGCTGCACTTTCTAACGTGACTGAGGCATCCCACTAAAACCATGAACGTCCAGATAACAAAGAAAACAGGGTTTGTTTGCTGCGACCTTTCTTATAGCACCATGTCTCATTTTGTTTCTTGAAGACATGGTTTGCTAGCAGAGCAAATAATTGGTGGGCTGGTCTGGAGGAGGTGGGGACGGCAGGGAGGGAGGGCACCAGGGGTCTCTGAGAAGGGGTCTGCAGCAGTTCAGCTGCATTCAACCACCAGCAATACAGCTGCCAGGTGCTGTGCTCTTCCATAAGAGACACTAGGTTTGGTATTTGAGGTGCTCACTTAATTTCCATGCGAAGATCAACTTTGGCCCCAAAACATATGGACTTGCTACTGCAGAAGTTCACTAAACCAGGCCAGAAACATGCAGAGAACAAGAAGTTTTCTACCAGCGCAGCCTGCCAGCCCAGCTCAGCAGCATTTGGCAGGTATTCCTCCCCAGAAAAAAGAAAGAAGAGTCCATGTTCTGTGGCCCAGAAGGGACCTGGCTTCTCTAACAGGTCTGTCTGTACACACGCTGAATGTGTGGGTGGAGGGGGAAGCAGGGGAGCGGGAACTAGAGCAGAAACCTGTACCTAAATAAAGTAACTAAGTAAACTTTATTTACCTGGAGCAGCCCCAAACTGATGCCAAAACCCTTTGGCTCATTAGCAGTGCCTGTGTCAACACGCAAAGTTAACATCGCAGATGTAGAGCTAATGAGTTAATGGCACACGATACATTGTGAAGTCACTTCTGCCAAAAAGTGGTTTGGGCTTTTTTATTTTTGCTGAAAACATAATTTGAGGTCAATAACTCAGAGCGTTTTATTTCCAGTTTGTTTACTGTGTTTGAGAATATTATCTTCTCTGTAGAGCCAGCTACATTCACTTGTATTTTTATTGGTGAGGAGAGCACAGGGTGGATTGCCAGTAAGGAAGAGAAACCCCACACAGGCATCTGTCAAAAGCAGACCGTGAGGAGCAAGGGGTGTCCCCACTGAGCTGGGCTTTCCCCCTTAGTCCGCTTCCTCTTCATGTCCAGCTCCAGCACGACACCACCTCTGCTGCTTTTTTCCTCCATCGTTTTTCCCTCAGGGAATCTGGAGGGACAGTGTTTTGTGCAAAGCCTGGATTTAATAGGGAACTTCAGTTCTGGAAGTGCAGGTCTGTATGGGAGCCAGCGTCAGCTGACAGTTGCAGGGAGGTGCTGAAAATCTTGATTTTGCACTTAGAGATGTTACCATCCCTTCCAGCCTTGAAATGCCTCTGTGGGTCCAGCCTTCAGCCTTAACCTTTGTACCATGCAGTCAATAAATTAAGAGAGCACACATTGTGTTCTGTCCGTGTAACACATCAGGCATGAGACTGGGAGAGCAGAAACACACATGGTAATCCTGGTTTTGGTGCCGAGTTACCCTCAGACCTTGTGCAATCCATCTCTGAGGCTGGGAGATTCTCGCCTGCCAAGGGAGGGCACTCCCAGCAGGTATGCGGGGTAGACAAATAGGAGTGTTGGCACAAGTATTAAGGGCAGCTGGTCAGGGAAGTAGGGCAGAACAAAAGAGTTCCTGATTCAAACCCTTTATGTATTCCTTTCTGCTACAGAGAAACATGTACCTTTGAAGCATGTACCCATATTTAAGAAAAAAGTTAACAACGAAGGTGTTAAGCATCCTGCATCCAGCTAGGATTCAATTCTTTCATTGGGCAGTGAAAGCTTTTTTAATTCTGATTTATGTACCTCTGCCTTTCTTCATATTACATTTGCATTTGCCCAGCATCATTGCACTCAGCAATGCAAGTTTGCTGAATGTTGTTCAAAGCATACCGAAACCACCCAACCATCTCTTTGATAGTTAGTTTGTTTTCTTTGTACTTCCACGCTGATATTCTTCTTCTGAAACTTCAGATTCGCGTTGTGAGACCTGACGTTTTTGAGTGAACTTTTTAGCTTTTCATTGCATTGTGTCTGCTGAAGTTTCATCACTAGCATGTTTTCAGACAAGCCTTACTTAGCTTTTTTCTTAAGGACAGCACATCAGAGCGTCGGCAGCGCAGCAGCTGCTAGGGCTGGCTGGATTATCTTGTCCACTTACGCAACCAGCCCTACAAAAGGAATCATGTTGTTGTCTGGACAATGCAAGTACAAGTGTCACCTCTTGACCAACCTGTGTTTTGACTCAAGCACACATTAAAAGACTGGAGTTAAACTGACCCAATATTCAGGAACTGAAGTGTGATTTGTGCGGAGATACATAGATGATTATCTATAACTGATGCACACTTGCCCCCCCAAATAAATCATCTTATAAGATTGGATGCTCACATTTTCAAGGGAAAACATCCTTTGACTTTGTATGTGGTAATTAGGGTGGGAGAGGCAGTGCTGCTGTACACAACGTACGTGACTTCAGATGACATCAATGTCCACAGTGGAAATAACATATTTTGAGTTCAGGTAATAGGACAAGATCATATCATTTTCTAGAGATGCATTTTCCAGTGTTGAAATTCTGCAACTGGAGACCAAGAGCTGACACCGTCTAGCCGTTGCAGCCCTGTTAGAAGTCGGCAGATGGGCTTACCGCTCCTGAAATGGATTTTGACTTTATTTACACAGACATTCATATTTTCACCATAGGATACACAGCTTCCTTCTTTCCGTTACCTATAGCTCTACTGTATCTCACTGAGATTTAAATGAAGACTTTAGCAGCAGTATCTGACAGAATTTAATATGTAATTAAATTTCAATGGCTTCATTTATCTCACTGGTCTCTTGTGAAGTCACTATAAAGTCAAGTTTTGTATTTCGTCTCAGAAATCTTGGTCAGTTTTGTTGCTACTGAAAGATCCAAGCATCCAGGGCTCAACTGGATTAATTGAGCTCACTGTGCTTTGAGGGGTCGGTGGGAGGAGAGGTTGAGTGGAAGGGACAGGGTAGTGGAGGAAAGAGCTAGAAGAGGGTTTCATGGTGGGGGTCCCACACCGAAGAGGAGCAGGGTCTGAAGAGAGGGGCAGGAACATCTGTAGCTCACCTCTTTCACCCCTCCTGCTCCCCCTTTTGCACTCTCAGGCCCCTGCGTGGACCCCCACTCCTGCAAAACGGAGTTTGGTCCATGGCAGCAAGAAATACTGAGATGGTGCTGGACAATATGGATTCACCCATGAAGCAACAAAAGCATCACCTGCACGCTGTGGTATCTCTGAGGGCTTCCCTGCCTCTCTACTTCTCTTTGGTCTTTGCCAGTAACACGTCTAACCTTCTGTAGCTGGCCTCCTTATTTTTTTAATACTTGTCCAAATTAGAAAGAAAAAATGTGCTACTATTCATCTGTGCAGTTATATTCTTATTTTCTTGGCATTCTCTTGAGCAAGTGATTCCCAGCACATCACCATTAAATTACTTTGTTCTTGCAGCTTTTAACGCAGGGATGTCCCCTTACCTTCTTAGGCTTGGAAAGCCCAGGATTTGCTATTATTACTTGGATTTGTCTATACTTCCTGCTAATAGCTCAGCCCATTTTCCCCCTAAGGGAGGGGGAGATTTTGAAAAGAAAGGTAAAAAATTAAAACAAAACCAAACAAGCAACAACAAAAAAAACCAACCAGCAACAGCTTTTTTGCTTCTCGCAAAGGCTTCTGGGTGAACTGCATTCAATACAAAGGTAAGGTTACGATACAACAGTATGTAAACCACCTAAAATTACATAATATATTTCATAAGCTGAAACGGCAGCATGTAAATAACCTAGTCCTGCATGTCAGCCTAACGTGTTGCTGGGTTACTCGCTGCGTCCCTCAACGTAATGAGTTTTCCAAGAAGCAGGAGATGATAGACTTCTGAGAAGAACCAAAGAGAGGAGTAGAAAACAAGAAGCACATTCCCATATTTTCAGGTCAGGCGAAAAGCAAAGCCTAGGAGCTTAACAAGTGCTGCTCAGAATGGTAGGACTTTTTCCTGCTCTGGATATACTCATCCTTGGAATACAGACAGCCTTTTCTTTCTTTTAAGTGCGCATTTTTCTTATGTATTGAAACAAATTCCATTTGTCAGAAGTGGCTCCTGGAGATCCCAACAACCGAAAGATAATTGACAATCTACTCACCAAAAAGATTGTATATGGCCTTCTAGCACTGTCCTCATCAGGGAAGTAGCATCAGTAATACAGAGATTTTAATTCCATAATTAAATTGCCTACAATTTTGGTACTGAAAGCTATCCTGCAAAGAGTGAAGGAAAGGACTCGCTTTTTAGCAGCTCTAGACAGAAAACATCCTTGACATCTACATCTGAGTTCATGTTTTAAAGAACAGCAATGCGGGGAGGCGAGTCCTTTTCCTCCAGTGGGGTGTTTTACCTTCTGCTTCGTCTCTGCTCCCTCCTTCTCTCATGAGACTGGGAATCAAATCGCCATCTCTCAGCCTCCTGCCTGAAATCCTGTTGTTGAGGAAAGATTGCGATGGGAAGAAAAATTAAGGGTATAACGTCCAGTTGAGCTCTGACAGTTTCCAGTTCTTCTGGTAAGCACGGCTGTTATGTATGGAAAAGGTAAGGATCACAAACCTTACGTCTTATGTTTTTAGTTGTCTAAAAAAACCCTGATAAATATGATACTGAAAAGTAAATCAAGCTCTGCCACTCATAATTCACTTACTGTCTTGTGGTGGAAGACGTGTCCAATTAAATCAAACGTGAACACCGAATATAACCATGGCAGCAGTGTATAACATTTTTTGTTTTCACAGATGTCACATTTTGAGAACTCTGATTATCCAGTGCTGAAAAAGACATTTGAAAATATAGCTGAAGTTTCAGGAGACTTTGTAAGTTATTCAAACACTTATAGTTAGCTATACAAAAAAAAGAAATGGTTTAAAAATAATATGCTGTCTAATCAAAGGTTATATCTTGCCCAATATATTGACCAATACTTAATTTTCGCTGCTCTCTTAGCTGTCAAAGTTTGCAGGGTTTGTAGTTATTTTTCTACTGCAAGTTTTTATAAATGAGCGAGTTTTACAGAAAGAGCTGTTATTAATCTGAGGATGACAGGCCTAGTGGGTTGAAAACAGGGATTCAGAATTCACAGCTTTAACCTTTCTTTGCTATTGACCCACTGACACTTCAGTGAATGATCTAAACTTCCCACATGTTTTTCTGTTTGTAAAAACATAACAGTTATGAACCTTTGTAAATATTAATAAAATTTTCACACTGAAAATTTTCTGCTTCTTTACCCTGAAAATGCTATATAGTATGATGTTACCTTGCACTCAAAATTGTATAAGTCTTCTTATAACGAGATCATGGAGTTAGCACATTAGAAGTCTTGAGATCCCACACACATGCTACGTGAAATCTTTCTTTTAAAAGATTTCAAGTTGCTCAACCTATACAACAGATACACTATATACACAAGAAACATTTTCTATAATGGAACCAGTCCCTTATAATGCAAAACCAACGCAGAGCAATGTTGCCCTACAATCTATGTTGAAAAGCAAAAAAAAAAACCAAACCCAAAAAACAAAAAGAGAAAGGGCATGCAAGCAGAATAAATCGCTCTATTTTTTTGTTTGTTTTAGAAGCTGAGGCAGAACAGATTAGCCTGCAGTGTAGTGCTTTCTTACACAAACAAGCAATTACAGCTGGTCGAGAGCAAAGCTCTTTAAAACACTCCTAGCTAGTTATAGGTAAAAGCTCTAAAACAAAGTAGGCTAAAATGGAAGGGCTCATTATTATGGAAAGGCCTTAAGACACTTCAGCATTTTAGTAACCGGCTATAAAATAATCTTCCAGAGAACAAATATAACATAAGCTACACAAATCACAAACAGCAGTTTGTGTATCAGAAGTTAATCCAGGCTTATCCCTCTAGAACCGCAGATGCTTCAGATGAAGCAAGTGCTAGGACAGAGCTCACATTTATCTGCTTCAATACTGGAGTTAAACTTCTATACTTTCAAGTTATATATATAAGTTAAGCTTGTATACTGTTATTAGAAAGTGGTTCTTTATTAGTACCAGTTTCTAGTACTTTATTACATTCCTTCTTATGCATGTAATATTGATCAGAAATGCTTTCTTTACCGAGTCCTACTACTGCTGCAGTAATACCTGCCTTTTGCTTATGGTAAAAGAATCAAGTCTGTCCAAGCAGAAAAGGTTTATCTGCATCCTCTCCATAAGAAACAGGAATACCTGTTTCATTACGGTGTACATATAGAATAGCCTTGTACTTTGTGACCTCCTTTCTGGTAAAATCAAGTTGCTTGCTTATTACAACCTCTCTAATACTTATTGGTGTGTCCCAATAAGAGGTATCCACAGATATATTCATCCTTGTATTGAAAAAAAAAAGAAAAACCAAACAATTTTGTTCTCTTTTTGAGAACATTTTCTCAAAGTGGTTGAGAAAATATGGTCAAAGAACAAGGTATCATCCTCTTGCTCCCACATCCATTCACTTGCAGTTCCTGGAGGCAATGAGCAGTTCCTGGGTTTGCATCCTACTAAACCCGCTTCCTTTTCTTTCTGTTATCAGATAACACGAACTCCTAATGAGGCCTCTTGGCTATAGCTGGTTTCCTTAATATTCACACTGAACTTTCCTTTACGGTTCACTTGGGAACAGCCAACGCTGGGTATCTGCCTGAGACTTGAAATACTCCAACCAGTAACCCTTGATGAGCTTCTCTGGAGCCCCGTAAAACCTTCCAGAAAAGGTGTCTAATTGCACTCAGCTGAGACCACAGATTTTTTCATAGGGCAAACATTGCCTACTACAGAAAAAATCCAGTATCTTCAGAAAGCTTGTAAAGAGACGGATGCTGCCCCACCAAAGATCATCAATGACCCCCCACCTTGTTGCATGGGGTAGTTAATGAGCAGGAGGACAGATCTCTGGTGCAAGACGGCCCTGGTAAGGATGGATTGAGATAAGTTTTAGGACACCATTGCAGTACATGTGCACATGTAAGGTGTCTGGCTCACCTTAAACATGAGCTGAACCATGACATGGGAACGATGGTCAAGATGTTCTATCTGACCACGACTGTTTTCTGAGCTTGAATGCTGCTGACGCATGCTATGAAAGAGCAGCTGAACACAGCAAGGAACTTTGGCTAAATGGCTTATTTGAAGGGAAGATAACTGGGGTTTTTTGGCCGGAACAAGGCTACCAGACCTGAAGAGAATGGAGAACGGCCAAAGAGGAGTGTTCAGAAACTGGGCCTTGCAGATGGGCTGGTGAGGAGAAAGACCAGTGAGCAGTCTCCCTTTAGGGAGACCTTATCTAAAGGAAGCTATGGTACAGACAGAACCAAGCACCAACCACATCTCATCAGGCAAAAAGCTGAAAATTAACTGGCACAAAAGTCAGGTTGAAAGGTTAGCCCTGGCAGAAGGCAGGCCTGACTTATCTTTTCCCTTCTCACAATCAAACATGTATTTTTCACCCCTGCTGTTATGCAATGCAGGTGTACATTATGAAACCATTGCCACATCCTCCTAACAGGTGTTGCCGCATTTTGTATCGGGGTGAAGTTGGAATCGTGTGAATTGTTTTTAAAATTATTTGGGATACAGAGGTGCTATCTAACTTGCAATTTAACTTTCATTGCTTTCATTGTAGTAAGAATTTTTTTTTTTTTTTACAGCAGTCTGACATATTTTATAATCAGGACACACAGAAGGAATAGAGATGATAAAATACAGCCAATTTCTTATTTAGTGGCTCAATTCTCCTAGTGAAGAGGTTCTCAAGAATCAAGATTTCAATAAGGGAGAAACTAGGCCTGAGGCAAGGCCAGGAAGCTGGATGACGCTGTAACTTAACCCAAGATTTTCCCCTCATAGATCACCAATAAATAAATAAAATATATATCAATTATTGTTAAATACAGGATCTGAAAAATAGCTCTGATGCCAACTGTACATATAAATTGCATACAATACATACAAAAAGGGAAAGAACAATTTAGTGCAGGTTTTGGGCAAGAATTTGTAAGCTTCAATGGCAATATAACACATCCTGCTGCTAAGGATAGAGTCAAGCTGATGTGTACTAATGTCTTAATTGAAAGGAATAAAAATTAATTAAAATAGACAAACAAGACAAGCAGATTAAGAAAAGGGGGTTGAAACAGGTCGAATTGAAATGCTTTTTATCAAATATTTCACCATTTGACCACTAACTCCAATGTAATTTAATCATGACTGCATTAAATTTAAACTGACTTGCAATTTAGTAAAAGGAAAAAGCCAAAATGAAAGACTTAAGAGCTCCAGGAGGACCACAGCTCAATAAATGATTTTTACATTTAAAGAGAACAACAAAGTATATTGTGGAATTTTTCACGTACTTATTAATTTAAAATTAACTCAGTTTTCAGTAGAGCCCCAGTCAGATATCTGCAACTTGAGCAAGAACAGCTGTCAGCTGAGAACGAGGAAAAGGTTTAAGCCTGTAGCTGTTCCCAGTGCATCATCAAACGGCTATATGAAGTTAGAACACTTTAAAAAAGACAAATTAGGACACAGGACACCTCCTGTATGAAATTGGATTGAGGAATTCCAGGTTCTAAGAATTTCCACCCAGGGCCTTGTTTCTTTTAACGGGATTAGACAAAATCCAACTTTCATGCTGCATGGACCGAATGGTTTAACGGTCTTGCAGAAGCTGATATGTACCACCCAAACCTGAGATCAAGTAACTTTCCCACTGCGACCTGAAAGGTGGAGGCATAGGAAAGCAATGAGACTGAAGTTCTAGGTCATTCGTACAAGACACCGTTCTCTCAAACAAGCATCCCAAGCATTTCTTCACTTACAAGCATTACAAATCGCTTCAAACACTAGAAATATTAGCATATAATTGCTTGTCAACTGCTTCACTGGTGCTGGCAGCACAAGCTTCTGCTGTGACTAACAACTGGCTGAAATCTGGCAGCTGAGCACAAGTCTTGCGGTAAGTAACAACATGCTGTCCTGAACGAAGACCCAGGCAACAATAAGACCGCTTCCTAAAATTATCATGTTACAGACTGCATGCATCTGTTTTTCCAGCACGTTGTTATAAAACAGCCATGAAACAGGACAAGTTAATAGTTACTAACGTTAGCTTAAGACAGCTAATGATTTCATACCATTTTTCAAGTTTTGGCTTCATCATTTAGGCCTAAGAGAGACCATTAGCTCTGAACTAATGCACACAGCCTGAGCTTTGTACCACAGGTTACCTATACCTGAAATAAAGAAGTAATTAAATAAATAACATCCCATTACTGGAAAGAATATCTGACAGAAGACGCCCAGACCTTTGGAATTCTGCACTATCGGTAGTGTTCAATGCAGTGGTTAACGGGGATTAAGAGCCTGATTTGAATTTCTAATCTGAATTTGCCTGGCTTCAGCAGCCAATCTCTGTATAAATTCTTCAGTTCAACATTTTAAAACCTTAGCCCCAGTGTCTGCCCAGTAGCAGAGTGGTTTCATAGTGGTTTCACAGGTGCTGTAGGCCAGGGGGTAAAACCACCGTGATACATGCTGTTTACATCCATGTGCTGCGTTAGTCCTCTTCACCACAGAATTACATTAGGAGTTTGCTTAGGGGAAGCCCTATGTTCAGAACAATCCTTAAATCCTTTCCATTGGCGTTATTTTCCAGGAGATATTGTGTACATTTAATTTTCCTTTCTTGTACCTAGAAGTATGACTTTGTAGGTGATAATACTAGCATACTATGTTTAAAGATCCTAGTTTGGAGCAATTAAAATTGGAGAGATGGACCTTTGTTTTCATGCAATTTAAATTGGCAGGGGGGTTTTAAATTGTTTCTGGAATACCGGTGACAATGCTGAATAGTACCACTGTGACACCAATACTTTTGGGAAGTCTTCCAGAAAGCATTTCCATTTGATTTTCCACCACTGGTCTCTAAAAGCATTTGTGGGGCTGCACTTCAGCATCTGGACACACGCTCTATTATAGCGGCTCACTCGTATCGAACTGCCATGCAGTGCTGCAGGGAGCTGAAGCAGAAACATTCAGATTAGTTTGAATGAAATATGAGTGGGAATTACTTATGTGAAAGCACGGGCAGCAGCACATGTTGAAGGAACAGCACGAATTGATAACCGAGGACATGATCAACAGCAATTAAACTGGTAAACACTGAGGAATGTGCTGTTTACATCAAGATCGGGAGGCCTGAGCTCCGATAAGGCCACAGCAGGATGACTCGTCAGCAGAAGACCGGAGGCCCGATAACAGGAGGATGGCAGCAGGCTTGCAGTACACCGTATGTGCCAGTCTGCTGCCTGTTATCCCAGCAGGAAGAAAGGCTGTAGCCATAAAGATACCCAAATGAGGAAACGCAAACAACAGGTAGCAACCTTCCCTACAGCTTATGGGGGATGAGGTAAGCAAGATTATGATGCAAAATCACATTGTAATAGCTGAAGGATATAAATACCTGGATGATTGTTGTGATTTGACTCTGCCTGGCAGCTCAGCCCCACACAGCTGCTTGCTCATCCCCCACCCAGTGGGATGGGGGACAGAATCATAAGGGTAAAAGTGCAATAACTTCTGGGTTGAGATAAAGATAGTTTCATAATTGACACAAAAAGCAAAACAAAACAATGCCCCCCCCCCAAAAAAAAAAAAAGAAAACAAAGATTAAAAAAACCCCAAACCAAGAAAAACAAGTTCTGCCAAAAGCCTAATTGCTCACCACCAACCAACCGATGCCCATCCAGTCTCCAAGCGACTGCTGCCCTGGCCAACCTCCCTCTCCACCAGTTTTATTGCTGAGCACAATGTCTTATGGTCTGCGATGTCCCTCTGGTCAGTTGGGGTCAGCTGTCCTGGCCGTGTCCCCTCCCAACTCCTTGTGCACCCCCAGCCTCCTTGCTGGCAGGGTGCTGTGAGGAGCGAAAAAGGCCTTGACTCTGTGTAAGCACTGCTCAGCAGCAGCTAAAACATCTCTGCGTTATCAGCCTTGTTTTCATCACAAATCTAAAACACAGCACCATACCAGCGACTATGAAGAAATTTAACTCCATCCCAGCCAAAATCAGCACACTGAAAAAGTTTTCCACTGCCAAGGAAGACCCCTGGTGACATGGCATTTAGTCAAGAGGCACCATTCCTTGTCTTCCATGGGGATCTCCAGCCTGCCTGGCCTGGCCGCTTGGACATGGGCTTCTTTGTGCTCGTGAGCATGTGGGTGTGAGAATTTGACTGGGTGAATCTATGAAAGAGTCAACATGAGTGACCGAGATTGGTTTTGTTTAAAATAAATACCGCCTTCCCTTTCCTTCTGGTCTTGAGTTGAATTTTGTCACATTAATTTCCTACTGCACACAGTCAATGAACTACAAAATAGTCTCTAAATTTGTAGCCTCTGCAAAGAAGGAGGGTAGCTGTTTGACCAGACCTATTTTCTGTATAAGCTTATTTTAGTTCTTTGTTATTTGAATCTCACAATAGACCTCCCAGTGTGGTGTTTCACACCGGCACCATGGCAACAAGCATATCATCATCCCACACGCTTTCTCCGAGTATTGGGACAACGTGAACATTATTCCGAAACTCCTGTGCTCAGAGATCTCCTCTGAAGGAACATTAGCAGGCCAGCGCCTTCCAGTCAACTCTTACCACGCCTGGTTTCAGTTTTTGGGCCTGTAGATACTGAATACCTGACAGGAATAAACTTCCTGTTGGATTATAAGGGAGCTATGAAATACGCCATTATCTTCATGCAAAACCATGGTTTTGTCACCGTTTCTACAGATAGAACATAACCACTTCGAACATGTCTCCACACTTAACAATTTGACCTTTCACCACCTGCCTACTCACGAGGCTATATTGCAGCTAGCAAGTATTTCAGCAAAATGCCTTAATATCTTCATCTGTCTGAGGTAGATTTTTCCAATCAACATCTTAAATTCCTTAGCAATTTTCTGCACTTTAATTTCTATTTGCTCTTCTTTCCCCTTAAATATTTGATTTTTTAAGTGTCAGTATTTCAGCACTATCCTCAGTTTGTCAAAAAGCAAAAGCATTTCCTCTCTTGCTGT